AAAAAAAAACCTTTCTGTCTTCAGCTGGCTGAGACATGTAAACGATTTGAGAAATTTATACAATATTTTAGTCTGGAAACTTGTAGGACAATGAACACTTCGGAGACCTATTCGTATATGGTACAATAATACTAAGATTTCTCATAAAGACGTAGAATATATTACGATGACCACTCGGAAGACCCAGTCATAGATGGAAGAATAATATCAAGATTGCCCTTGAAAATATACAATGCGAATTTGCGGACCAGAACTCATTCACTCGTGATTATCCAATTAATAGGCTTTTGTGAATAACGCAATGAAATTTTGTGACGGCTGAGGGATTATCAGCTTCTCAAGAAGGACTCAGTCTTTGAGTTGTAATATTCACTTGGTCTGCGAATTTATGCCTTCGTGAAATCTTAATGTCTATAATCCTCACACTTAGATGTTTACTGAAGCATTTTAATTCAATTCGCGATTACGATTTCCACGTAATCTATTTTAATATTATCATCATCTGTTTATGTATAAGTCTGATAGGTTTCCTCTAAATTATTCTAGATTATATTGTATCATAAGGATGGAAAGAACGATACTTGTTACTTTTAATATACAAATATTCTACTAAACAACCTCTTTTAATAAAATCCAAAACTTTTTAACCCTTAATATGACAGCTGACATTAGATTTTTACTTACGTTTTATACAGCAGAATGGAAGACAAAAATGTTGTGAACTTAACTGTAAAAAACATTCCACGAATTTAATCTGCAATTAATTCCTTCTTGAATTTCAAATTTAATTTGTTGCTGTCGCTTACAGACATTTTAACAGTTTCGGAGGATTCATTATGTACCTTTATATTATGATTCTGTCCTCAGTTCTCGTCAAGCGAGGGGGGGGGGGAACAGATTTCACACGTATTTCAAATGTCAAACCAATATCGTACAGTGAACACTATTCATGACATCGAACTAAAAATTGTGTCAACGCGGTTGAAAGTCAGTTTGGTGTTTGAAACACAATCACTGAATCTATCGACGCTATTCAGTTTCGATAGCTGCAGAGAGAATTTTATGAATATGTTCCAGCAATTAATTTCGTCTGTGTAATTACCAGAATTCGACACTTTTCTACTGATTCGTCTCCAAATAATTTCCTCTCTCCATGTCGTAATTTTTATACGTTCTGTTTAACGTCCACGTGAAATTTATATCAGACTTTCCAAATTTTACACCTTCGAAATCGCTCAAAGGACGTCCATTTACAATAAAAGTACCCGGAAAAAATTACTTTGATTTGTATCTTTTTCCGAATAGATTATTCTATCTGTAAATCTTTCACGGCGTGTACAGGGAACAACCTTCCTTTACTTTCTCCAGCTTAGATTAATAATCTATTTTATTTCTCAGATGTACAATGTGTAATAAATGTTATATTTTTATGTTATTATTGAACATTGGCTTAAAACCATGCGTTGTAAAAATAGTGCATTTTTATACTCGTAATTTAAGCGTTGTACATTTAAGAAGTATAAATATGATTATTGCCTGATATAAACTCCATAATTATTTCTCCCTTGACGATCACTCACAAGAACTGAAATCTATAGGTCAGTAATGAATGTTAAGGTTTAAATAATAGAGTTGTATTGTTTTTTAAACAAACGTGTTGTTTTAAGATACAACAGAATGAAGCGCAAGACGAATTTTAAACTTATAGCAAAATGGTCCATGTACATCAGGTTATTTGTAACTTGCATTCCATCGGGGCAGTAACAGAATAGATTTATCTCTTCCTTCCGCTGTTGTTTGACTATGTGAAATCCTTGAGGAGTTTCGAAACTCTGGCAAATAACTACGTCGTCATATAACATATCGTCTACATGTATGTGTAAAAGCAAGTTTCCCCCCCCTGCCCTCAGGGGCCACAAGGCTAGATTTCTCTTTGCCTTCACCGACAGTCGCAGGAGAACAAAGCATTCTCATTCTGCTGTGGCTCACATAGTAGCATTTTTTTAAAATAGAGTGAAACCCCTAGTAATGCAGTCATAGGATAATGAATTTTCGCTTAACGAATTGCCTCTCAATAGTTTCCACTCATCACGTAGTGAATTTTTCCTTACGAAGTCACGCGGTCGCCGTTCTTGGCCAATGAGATCGCTCCTAAGTGGACTCAGCAGAGTTCAGTTAAGGCAACAGTGGCACCATCATCATAGAGCACCTCTAAAAATCCCACTTCCTACTACCAGCCCTGATCCCTCAGACGTTATAATGTAAGGAGATTCTAATTTAAAAAAAGAAAAATTCTCCCACCCAAATTTTTCCATCAATTCTCCCGATGTCGGACATCTTAGCCTAAGGTAA